CCCGCTACTATTACGCTAGATAGGATTAACCCTTCCGGCCCGCCGCCGCCGCCACCGCCGCTGCCGCTGCCGCTGTCGCCGTCATCGCCACAGGGCCGCGTATACATGTGTATTGTATGTACCTACATATAACGTGTATGCCATGCCAGGCACTACTGGAAGCGTGCACGGTACGCTCGTTAGTAGCCTCCGAGTCGAAACCCTGAAATTTCCATATTCGTAGTCGCGCACGATGAAGCCCGGCGGTCGGGATTTTTAGCGCTTCATCTGTTTACCTCTCAACTCAATTGCCAGACAGTTTCGTTCCGCACACGGCCGGCGAACACAATCGAATTATCTGATGTGTCGGGCAAATCACTGAAATTACTCTTTATATAGCAGAGTCGGCTACTCGCGCGCTATTATTGGCGACGGGGAAATTAACTCGAAATTTGCATTTTATTTATTTATCTCGTGAAATCTGGCTAGGATAGATCATGGAATCGAAGGCTGGGATATCTTTGGCGAATTTTTTCCGGCGAATTATTTTCAGGGTATCGAGCCCTTAAATCTTATTAGCGAAGCTGATAATCTGAAGGGGTGTACTCTTCAGCGCTATATTGGTCAATAGCAAGTAACTATGTACCCCACGTCAATTTAGTTCGGGCTAACTATCACGTAATTTCATCATGCTTCGTCATCGTCTCGAAATTACGCTCTGCAAGGCTGCATCCTTGTAAACCATTGAGCAGCACCGTGGCCGTCATTGTCGATGCTTCCCCCCCAATGTCTTTCCTCTCGTGCCAAGTATGAAATAACTTTGTTATATTCGCGATATCGACATCCCGATATGTCACGCCACCGGAGTTACAGCCCGACGAGTCGCGCGAGCCTCGTCTACCAGCAGCGCCTGTAATTAGCGCGGCGTGTCCGAGACTTTTTGATTTAACGTTAACGTCGTCCGGCGCGATATCGTTGGAAAAGAATTACAGTTTTATCTGTTTCATCGCGCGACGCTGATAAAACCCCGTTGGTAACCGACTTCTTAGCGTATATATCCTCGTCGTCGAAACCACGAAATTAGGATCTAGAGGGTCCGTGTCCATTATATCAACGATGACCGGTAACTAAGCGCGATGGTTTGCTCCGTCCGTTTGTGTGGTGCGGTGGCGGCGAGTATCGAGTAATTTCATTACCGCCGCGCGGACGTCGACACCTCGACGCATCCCGCGCGGATTAACGGTGGGGAGGGGACCCTGCGGCGTGAAGGGACTGCCGTGATTCCCCGTCGTTTGCTGTCGGCGTTGACTAGCGATGCGGCTAGTCACGGTGGCGCGATAGATAGACCGCGACAATGGTATCGGCCCAACGGTGGGCGTCTATCTCCTGTCGCATCTCCAACCCTGTCGTTAGTCTCTCGGCGCGCGTGCAAACGCCCGCGCGCGAGCGTCCTTAATCTGATCCGCGTGATCCGCAATCAGGCGGACTGCGGACTGTGGGGGAGGAAACAAACGACTCGGGGTCCCCGACATTCGCGCGCCTCGCATATACGCCGATCCGGGTCATCCGTTTGGCCGCTTTGGCCGGTCCACCTCGCTCCCGCGGATCGTTGTTTCATCCCCCCCCTCGTTTATGAACACGAGCTGCCATGTAAACGGAAGTTCGGGATCGGCAGCGGCGAAATGGGGCACACGTTTGCGTGCCGAGCCGCGATGGCGCATCCGGACATGTCGGCAAGAAGACCCGGGGGAGATTGCGAAAAAGACAGGACAGAGGGGATGTATCTGGGACGACGACGACGACGGGAGACGGGGTGAGGAAGGATGGCGCGCGAATAGACGCGGTTCTGATTACTTCGGAGGGTCCCGTCGTCGCCGGCGAGTTTACGCTCAAGGTCTTCGTGCTTCCGAAATAAAGGCGAAAAGAAAAGAAGAGACTGTTGTCCGCGGAGAGAAAATCGTGTCGGTGCATAATTATTTCTTCCTTTTCTTTCTCTGTGCGTCCAGGGTACGAGATAGCTCGAAAGTCGAGATGTATATACGGATCGTTGGACCGCCTCAAATTAATCGACCCTCGGAATGAGAGAAATATGAGAAAATGTGCGAATCAATTTGATTCCCGTTTAAATTACAATCAAAAATGCAATTAAATTTGCAGATATTATAATAGAAGTGATAATTAAAAACGGACTAGCAATTATTATTATTACGATAATTTATATCGTTGAATGTTTTATCGTTATCAACGGTATAGCTCTAATTAATTGCGTTTTCGCGTTTCGCCGTGCGTTTCAACGTTTTAAGAAATATTCTCTAGGTGGATCAATATTTTGACAGATCAATAATGGGGTCTCGGGGAAAAAATGGTGCGGCACGCCGGGGCCCGCGTACTATAAATCCGTCACAGCATAGTTCCCAGTTGTACCTGACGCCCGCAAACACAACATTGCTTTCCATGCTCCCGCATATATCTACTTTTCTGCGTTCTAACGGGAGCTCGCGAAGCGAAAAATGCGCTATTGATCGAGTGAAAACATTTTTCTGCGGTACCCGGTCTCGTCTTTGATTTTTGATATTAGGAATTCTCATTACGTACCCGTCGTATTTTACTTGGCGGCGACCCCGCGCCGTATACATATACACACGCACACACACACACACAGGGATATCTCGGCCTTCCTCTACTCTACGATTACATCCCTGCCGCTCTCATTCGGTTTACTACGCCTTCAGGTGCAACCTGACGCCGTACGTGCTAGATGGAATTCGATATAAGCGTCGCTTGAACACGGAATCATTTAACATGAGGAGGAGGTAACTGAAACATTTCCAGCTCTTATTTCTCAAAGGCCTGATCCTTTTACTTCTTACTAGGGAAGAAAAAGGAAATTCGTATACTGCCAGTCGCGCGCTGCGCGAGACGCGATATTTTCGATCTGCCTATAACGTATCGTCTTTGATGATACATCACTGCACTCCACCGTAGAGCGAATCTCGATGCTCACAGAAGATTTAGCATGCATCTATATACATATATATGTATATGTAATATATATGTATGTGTGTCTCTATGGCATATACATATCTCTCGCGCGCGTATTTGACTTCATACTGCATAACTTAAAAGTTCCCGAAGAAAAACGTTCGACATAACTCGGCGCACTTATATCGAATTCGCCCGAATGTAGACTGCATTACGTCACCATAGAAAGAGTTTAACCGAAGTTTAAGAGGTATCATGAAAAAGCGGGGGCAGCGGGGAGGAGAGGGTTAACTTTTCGGGCCCCCCCACTTTCCGCGCGCCCACTAAAGTCGAAACGATACAAGGAGCCTATCGCTCCTATCCCGAACGAGAGTCGGGTCGATATCCCATCTGTTTCCCACGGTTGGAGAAATGCTTAAGTTTAAGTGCGCGGATGTGCTTTTACTCACTCGGCGTGGAGAGGCTTAGACTTAATAGAATACGGATACTTTCAGTCAAGTCATTCGATATCGCATCGCAAGATACTGGGAGGGTGTTTCCCTTCGGAAGTATCGATACCTTATGACAATCAAGAAGAAAATATATAGTGTCGTAAATCAATATGAACTCTAATGGAAGTAATTATATAATGTTATATATTTTATAATATATTTTCCAGTATATAATAATATGTACATATATATCTACATATTAAAATAAAATATTATATAAATCATATTGTCTTTTTTATGCCAATAATACCATGAATGTGCCATATTTGATAAATTTTGGAAATTCACAATTAAATGTGTAACGAACTAAAAAAAACATTCACCCCACTCAGAAAGTGAAAATTTGCACATTCATGGTTCTGGCACAAGAGGGGTGACACATAATATTTATCGTTACAATATGTTAAAAAATTATTCAAATTTAATGTTTATTAGATATTGTTATCGTCTTTAGTTAACGTTATTACATTATTTGGTTCACCGAGGTGTCTTTCAGCTATAATCTATCGTTCTATCGCAAGAGTATAAGGCATTGCTACTAAAAATATCCCAAAATAAAGTATCTGGTATTCCGAATACTCCGATATCAATTCGCGTGCATTTCTATCCGCATTCTGCGTTAATAGTCCGTCTTGCGACAGTGCGTAGAGTGCGACTTCCGCACAGGCGCTTGCAGAAACCTCTCTTGCTCTCTCCTTCTCTCCCCCTTTCTCTCTCTCTCTGGGATTCGTTCGGGCTGGTTCGTGCCGAGGTGCCCCTATCTCAGCCTCGTGCTGTTCCAACATCGGGTACTCTCGGGCGCGCGTGCGAACGACCGAGAGAGAGAGAGGAACCCGGGCGTGCGAGAGGGGGTTACACTACGCGGTGCCGCCGCCGCCGGCCGCGCGCGCGAGGGTGGGAGACGGCGCCCCGCGCTCCAAAGCCCGTAGGCCGCGCCACCGCCACTACTCCGCACACGCGATCACCGTGGGGCACGGACGCGCACGCTCTCTCTCTCTCTTTTTCTCTCTCCCTCTCTCTCTCTTTCTCTTTCTCCCCGAATGCCTCCTCGCCGCCGCTGCCACCCGCTATTTCCGCGCGACGCGTGCTCGCCGCACGATCGGGACGCGTGTGCCCCGTGAGTGTCGCCGTGACTCGTCGTGAGAGGGTTGATGAGTGCGCGCGGTGCCTCAGTGCCTCCGGTCGGTGAGAAATTAGTTTGGTGAGATAGAAAACGGAACACAATAAGGGGGAAAAAAACGAAAAAGAAAGAAAGAGAAACGAGGGATAATAAAGACGGACTGTTCGACGATTATTTATTCGACGACGCGTCTCGCGACGACGGTGGCGATTGTTCACAAAAGTGGATTTTCAATGTGAGCCACGCGCGTTCGCGCGAGGCTGGATTGTGTGCGATAAAAGAAACCGGAGTACCATATAGTGCCCGCAACACCGTAAGCGGGGTTTGATTTTCTCGATCGTCCGCGTCAACGATCGCGCGCGGTGCGTTTCGAAACCACACACACACGCGTTTCTCGCTAACTCCCGATCCTCTCTTCTCTCCCTCAGAGTTGAACGACTGCGGTCGCGGAGGCGGCAAGAAATCGTCCCGGGATCATCATGGACTGGACCCGGCGGATTTGTCTGACCGGCTTGTTATTGTTCTGCCTCGGATGGATCGGGGGTAAGTGCAGTGTGTTATATTCCGTGTGTGTGCGCCACTCTGGTTTTTGTATCGCTTGTTAGACCCGGCGCTTCGGCCTCGTGCGCTGACGCATGAATCGGGGTCTTTGTCAAACAACAGGCTCCACCGCCGCGCCGCCGCTGCCGCCGTGCTGCTCGATCGATTCGATTAATCGCCGACGATCCGCGTCGGGAATGCGCGGCGTTTCGGACATCCGCCGGGGCCTGCCCCGTCGCGCGATGCTGTTTTGCTTTTGTTCGCGGCGCGACGTCGATGGCCTATTTGCGGCCGCTATTATATGAACGGGTTGCAACGGTTGAAACGATAACAACGCACGTTGAGCCCGCTATCTGAAGGTAGCAATCGCAAATTGTTCCGCAACAGGGGTCAACACTTATCACTCTGGCCGTTGATACAACTGTCTCTCCCACGATAAATACTTTAACGCCAGACCCCCCTCCCCCCGCCCCACGCCGTTAGAGCGTTTCGCTCGTTATCCTCAAACTTTAGAGATGTTCCCCCATTTAACTTTAGTAATCTTTGACTCCAACTAGAATATCACGTCTATATTCTCGCCTAAATTCTCGCCAGCCCCGGTACTGGCGCGCGAGTTTTTCGGAGCCTATGCTATTTTCTCGCTTCTCTGTTCTTGAAATTGGGAAAGTTATGAAATAGGAGAGATATAGTTCGGGAAGGCTGAGCCGCGTTCGAGGATATTATTGATTCTTCCCGCACTAGCCGTTTGAAAGTAGTCATACATTTATTCCGCCACGACGGGAATGACATTCTATTGGTAATAAGTAAAACGCTGACTTTTTGAATTTTTAAGCAGTCCCACCTTCCCGTGTGACTCATGCATTCGAGTCTGCAAAGTGTAACTTTTGAATACTTAAGTATTGGAAATGGTTTAAGAAGCGATAAAGTACTTTCGGGTCCGCGAGAACACCTAAACGTGCTATTATACCGATCTGATCTTTTGTTTTAAATACAATCCACGAGATCTATAACGATATATAAAATTGAAGACAAAAGTTGAAGCGAGGAAAGATTTCTTTGTATGTCGAATTTTAAACGATCACTTAAAACTGTTTGAAGCTCATACATTCCACTCGCTGCAGGCAAAAGTCGGTTGAGATCTGTTAAAATTTCGTAAAAATTAAAGTATCGAATCGAGAGAGATTATTCGCGAGGTCGCGACATCTCGTTTCTTAAGGCGCGCGCTCGTACATATAAAATGTTCGCGAGCTTTATGAGAGGCAACGTCGCGAATCGGAGGGATATTTGGTTTACTGATGTAAAATACGTAAAAAGAAAAAAAATAGATGACAGCGGCGACTATAGGAGGCGAGTAAAAAGTAAGTTGTCGTTTTTTTTTGGTCTTCTTTTTCCAGTTTCCTCCTCGGTGCCCCGCAGCCTCCGGCGTTTTTCCAACGCTCTTCAATTCGCGAAACGATTGCGGGCATGTTGAGATATGCATTTCCGACAACTCGCGCCCGTCTATATTCTCGATCCCCTCCCCTCGCGTTGTACCCTCGCGCTCTACACGGCCCTCTCACGCCACTCATTCCGAAACTCATTTCGCGATATGGGATAAACAACGGCATTGTCGGAAAACACGAATGAAGCTCAAACGAACGTATACCTCCGCCGCAGTGCCGTATACGATCCAATTACCACCGTGGTGTTTCGCGATTGCGTATCGGGTATGCTTAATTTAACGGAGTTTCGATCCTGTCGCTGACATTATCGATACCCTGGAAATGTACGAACATTACCTGCCATCGCTCCGTTAATTTGAGAGAAAATAGACCAAACGTGGAGAAACGCACGCGGCGCAAAGAATTGATACTTTTTGAATGCGCCAGGATGTAAAGTATTCTACAGGATTATCATCTCCGAGAGATCGTGCTCTTTGAGCCGTAATCGATCCCTAATTAAGGTCCCTAAGTAAAGGAACGAAGTTGTCGGTGATTAAAATGTCCAGTAACGAAGTAACGATACTTAAACGATTCCCTCACGGTTGACTTAACTTTGTTCGTCGCGCCGTTCTCTCCTCCCCGTGGCTAATAAGTATGAAACGGTACAACGAGGGTTACGCGATCTTCGCGGGAGATATCGACGGGTATAAAAAAAAATTTGTCACGAAATCGATAAGAACGCCGAGGGGGGCGCCGCATCAGAGAGAGTACTGGGGGTTGCTCTCCGCGGGGGGTTACACATTCCGCGTACAGGCGTATCGCAGCAGGTACGTACTTACGTACATTTATCGTGCCTGAACTTCAATTTCGTGATGGAAGTGGATTAATACAATTTAATGGCGTCCCGGGAGAATTATATGCGCGTCGACATCTCGTACCTCGATCTGCCTGCAAATACGCATATACGTATACATGTTAGGAAGGTCCGTGAATGTGTGTGTGTGTGTGTGTGTGTGTGTGTGTGTGTGTGTGTGTGTGT